CCCCCGTATGCCCCAATTGATGGGATGAGAAACATGCTAGTAGGCATGACAATGTATGACCATGAGAGATAGGGATTTTATTAAAGGCCCCTCTTGTTTGTCAAGGATTAAAAAAAAAAAAAAAAAGGAGGAGAAGGGAAGAGGGAGAAAAAGAGAGTACGTACGCTCCTCACTCAAACCGCCACCATGCATGGCAAGGATGAGCAGCCCTGGTTCAACCGTTGGAAGCCCAAAAAGGGTGAGAAGGAGCAAGGGGGGGGGAGTAGGGCATAGCGATGTCGCCTAGCCCAAGTAAAGGCACGCGCGAAAAGACACGAGCTCATGACAAGCGAAGCATGCAAATGCTCAAACAACAATGGAAACACATCCAAAAAGAGAGGGAGAGAGAAAGAGCGAGAGAGAGAGAGAGAGAGAGAGAGAGAGAGAGAGAGAGAGAGAGAGAGAGAGAGAGAGAGCACACGAGGGAAGCATGATCATGGTCCCAAGCATCAATCCTCCAGAAAAAAAAAAAAAAAAAAAAAACGAGGGGAGGGAAAAGGAGAGAGTATGAGAAAGAGTTTGCCAAGGTGCGATTGGACGCCCTATATGGAATGACGACAAACCGTCCGTATGGTCCTCACTGTTGACGGTTCATTTTTCGCGCATGCATGTATATGTCACACGCATGAACTAATTAAGGCGTGCAACCTGATTGGTCGCGTTCATTTCCTTGCCGTACATACAGGAGCACAACAATACGAGGTGCCTCGCGACGATGGCCCGTACGAATTCGCCGTCACGGACAAAACCGTCACACGGATGTGCGGTCGGCTTCGCTCGACCTTTGCGTGGTGGAGCTCATGGTGCCCTTGCAGCCTCGTCCTATCCATCATCGCCAACGGTTACTGGCTTCCATGGAGCCACGGCCCACCACAGGCCTTTCGGGAGCGTAACCACGCTGGTGCATACGCGCATGCGTCGTTCACTCGTACTGCCATCCAAGAACTCACAGAGACCGGAGCTGCAGTCGAGACAGCCGCAAGCGAGCTTACGTGCATAAGCCCACTTAACGTGGTCGAGCAGAAAGAAAAATGCAGGCTCATCCTCGACCTGAGAAAAGTCAACACAAACCTCATCGTCCCAAAATTCAAGTACGAAGGACTCAGCCGTGTGGCAGACGTGGCACGCGCTGGGGATTGGATGTTTTCTATTGATCTCAAATCCGGGTACCATCACATCGATATCCATCCTTCATGCTGGAAGTTTCTCGGTTTTGGATTCGATGGGCGCACTTACTCCTTTCGTTCATTGCCGTTCGGTCTTGCGACAGCCCCATTCATCTTCACGCAACTCATCAAGCAGCTAGCCCGTCGCTGGCGGGAGCAAGGCATCCGAGTAGTTCCATACGTGGACGACATCTTATTCCTTTGCCAGTCAAAAGCTCACGCGCAGGCTACTTGCCACCGTGTAATACTGGACCTTAAAGCAGCAGGTTTGGTGATAAATGCGAAGAAATCACAGCTGTCACCATCGCAACACCTTCGATTCTTGGGTGTGGAGCTAGACACGGCCACGGGCCGATTTACCATCGGTCCCGAACGACGAGCCTCACTACATGCAACCATTCGGAACCTGTTGAGCGCAAGCAAGGCATGTCGACCCGTCTCAGTCCGCCAAGTGGCCAGAATCACAGGCATGCTCGCGTCAATGGGCGTCGCGCTGGGCGCAACAGCTCGTGCTTTCAGCCACGCCATGCTACAAGTGATCAATGACGCACCTTCATGGAAAAGCAGCGTGATCATCCCCCCAAACGCGGCTGAGGAGCTAAACTTCTGGCTCGAAGAGTTTGATAGGTTCAACGGTGCACCGTTTCACGTTCGAAACAGCTACGACGCTGTCATCCATGTGGATGCTAGCGCTCACAGTTGGGGCGCCACTTTGACCACATTTCCTGGCGGCCTCGAAGAAGCTAGCGCAACAATGCCAGAGCCGCTGCGAGCGACGTCCAGCACACGGAGGGAGATCGAAGGTGTGCTTTGGGCACTCCAAACATACTCCAGCAAGATCACGCACAAACATGTTCTTGTGCGGGTGGACAATCAGGGCGTCTTCTTCATCCTTCGCAAAGGTGGCTCGCGCAGCCCCGACCTTACCACAGCCTGCCAAGACATCATTCGACTATGCATGGAGCACGGCACGCGTCTAATCATCGAATGGATCCCACGGGAGCTAAACTCACACGCCGATGAGCTCTCAAAAGCAGTCGATCATGACGACTACTCGTTGAAGACGCCGTGGTTCCGCATCTTAGAACGGCGTTGGGGTCCCCATTCCATCGACCTCTTTGCAAACTCCCGCAACTCCCAGCTGCCACGCTTCTGCACGAAAATTCCTCATCCACAAGCCACCGCAGTCGATGCATTCTCGCTCGCATGGACATCAGAAAATAGCTTTGCGTTCCCCCCGCCCCATTTAGTTCCGGCCGTCCTCCATCACGCACAGCGCACCCGTGCATCGCTCACATTGATCATCCCACACTGGCCGGGTGCAAACTGGTGGCCACTTTTACAACCTTCCCCACGCAACTGGGCACCGTACATCCACGCGCACATTCCCTTGACACACGGCAGCCAATGCCTGGCAGCTGGAACACATTCCGCTGCTTTTTCAGGCACTGGATTACCACACAGCCCAATCATCGCACTTCGGGTGGTTTTTGACTAATTGAGAATGTACGCGCCTTGTGTCCAGATCCGCTCCCAAAGCTACACAACCAACTCACCAACATGCTCACACAATCGCGAGCGAATTCGACAATCCGTACATACGAACCGTACTGGGCCGAGTTTCGGGCCTTCTGCACAAAGGTGGATCTTCCATTTCTTCCCGCATCCGACATGACCCTCGCGCTATACTTGGTGCATGCAATCCAACGCAAAGCAACCTTGTCTGTAGTGCAGCTCACGTGCTCGGCAGTCAGCTTCGCCCATCGCATGACTGGAAGCAAATGCCCGACTGTCGGACCGTTTACCACCCAAGTGCGGGACTACGCGAAACGACACTGCCCTCGCCCTAGTCGTTTGAAGGAGCCCGTATCAATCCAACAAGTTCGGGACATGTCCGCGAACTACTTGCAGTCGGACAATCCCGCTGAATTTCAGAAGGGGTTGATCCCTATCCTCATGTACTCCGGATTTTTGCGATACTCCGACCTCGTTGCCATCCAGTGGCAAGACATCCAATTCGACGATGCAGTCATGTGGATCCTCATCCCACACTCAAAAACGGACCAGGCTGGTCGTGGAACCTGGATTCCCATCGCCGCAACGACGGACCCTTGTTGCCCCGTGCGCTGCACCCAACGCTTCCTCCAACTCGCTGGCTATGGCCCTCATTCCGAGGGGTCGTTGATTCGCGTTTTCAGCCACGCTTCAGCCAACAAGGGCCAGGCCAAGCCACCCTCGTACACAACGATCCGAAACTGGTGTAAAGAAGCATTCGCCAAAGTAGGACTTGGGGAGCAGCAGCTCGGCACGCACTCCTTCCGAAAGGGCGCGGCAACCGTAGCCGCCAACATCGGCGTGCCGGACAGAATCTTCAAAAGGATGGGCAGGTGGCGAAGTGACACCGCCAAAGAGATGTACGTCACACCATACGTCGGACATCTTATCAAGGCATCCCGCGACCTACAGGACTCGACATACGCGCTGCCCCCAGAACAGCACGCAGAGGCACTCTTACGCAACCGCAAGCCACCACTGGCCATGTCTCAGAGGCCCCAGTTGCAATGAGAACGATGCCAAATTATAAGGACAAGAAAGCAAGCTTTCTCAATATTATAATTTTTAAACACATTGATGTTTTTCAAAATTGTGTATTGTGAAAGCGAAGCTGACTGTACCGAATATTTGGCAGCGTCGAAGCGCGCTAAACGCCCTTCTCCAACTACAAAAACCGTGGGTTGGAGTTCATTCCCTCCACCCACGTTTCTCGTTTTCCAACGGCTCAATCAACATCCCCACCACCCACCCCGGACCAACTACAAGACCACAGCTGCTTGGACGGACGACTCCATAGCTAGTAATATTTGCATGTACTAGCATGTGTTTACGAACGATGCATATGTTGTAATAAGCCAGTTGCAATGAGAACGATGCCAAATTATAAGGACAAGAAAGCAAGCTTTCTCAATGCGAAAATTTCGAAACTAGGGTGCAATTTGGTGTAATACGATGCAGTGCGGTAGAAACGATTGGGACACATCGATTGGGACGTGTGTCCACAGCGGAATGTACCCTGAGTACAAGGGGAATACCAAACGTCCTAGCTAGCCATGTACTTTAAGGGGTACATTCCCTTATTCGAATTTAGACCCAACCGTGCGGCACATACAGTTATGAAACTGTTCCCGCCTTTTTCCTCTCTCCTGCAGCTGCCGTATGTTGTCAGCTCCGTTGGTCCAGATGCTTCGAAATTTCGCCTTCGTACTCTCTTCTGTGTTCTCCGTTCTTGCTACAGGTAGGAATGCACAGTGCATCTTTTCAATTTGCTATTCGTAACACCAAGGCTGATGGATTAGCCTGGTCCAAAACGAATCTAAGGGCCTAATTGTAACACACTTTATCATGCTTCTGCAACGTGGGCTGCGGAAACGTACACGTAACTTTGTTTAGATCAGGCTTGTAAAATCACTTCATAAATAAATCCAAAATAACCCAAATACCGTATTCAGATTCAGACCATTTGAATGAAAAATTGCATATCAGACTAGCAGACCATAGGATTGTAATCTTTTCCTTAGTGCGGATGCGGGTGCTTTCTCCTGTCAACATCAAGTTCGACGAATTAAATGCCACAGTCTCGTCGGCTCGCCTCGGTTTAGTCTAGGCAGGAAAGCAGGCAGCATCCCACATGAAGATCGCCTCGCTGACGTAGCGGGCGGCATAGCGTAGCGAGGAACGTAGCGGGCGACGTAGCGTAGCGAGGACGTAGCGGGCGTCGTAGCGAGCGACGCATGAGCGATGGGTAACCAGGTGGTGATCGCGAAGGCGGCGGCGGGCGTGGCGTCGGACTACTGGGTACACGACCTGCCGCGCGGCGTGGTGCTCAAGGACGTGTTGGCGCCGGGCCGCTTCCTCAAGACGCTCGACTGCTTCCACCATGAGGGCCGCGTCATCGTCAAAGTCTTCCTCAAACGCGCCGACCTCAACCTCCCGCTGCAGGCCAGTCGTCCCCGCGCCTTCCTGCTGCCACTTCCGCGTTACAGGCGCAATTGAATCTTTCCGTGCTGCAGTTTCGTAAGCTGCCGTCGCAGGCGAGTGAGAATGAGCGGGTTATGGGGAGAGAGCGGCGCTCGGGGAAGGCAACAGTGGATGACGGGGAAGGCCTCAGCGCCACGTGCCTCTCGAGCGGCTAGAGTGCCTTCCCCACCTCACAAGAAGCGACATCGCCGCTGGGCAGGCACCCCGTGCGCTCGCCACGGCTGTTGACAGCGGCAACTGCATGGCCTCCTTATCCCCATCCCATCCCATGCTGCGCCCTCCCATGCGCTCTCCCCTGCGCCCTTATCTGCGCCGTCCCCTGCGACCTTATCTGCGCCCTTACATGCGCCCTTGCACTCTTACCTGTGCCCTCCCCTGCGCCCGCCCGTCTTTCCCCCTCTACCAGGCGTACGAGCAGCAGTTGAAGGTCATTCGCCATCGCCTCTCAGGCATCGACAAGTCGCACGTCTGGCCCTTCCAGGTGCGCCCTGCCCTTCCACGTGCGCCCTGCCCTTCCACGTGCGCCCTGCCCTTCCAGGTGCGCTTATGCACCACCACTGCCACATGCCGCATGCACCATTGTCCCATCGTCTTTATTTCCTGCCACTACCCACCCTTCGTCTCCACCAATCCGTTTCTGACGATTCAGCCTCGTCCCCCGCTGCCATCCGCTTGCGTATTCCCTTCCACGCTGCTTCCAGTTCTCTGGTCCTCTCTCTCACCCCTCCCCCTGGTCTGTCTGCTCCGCCGCCCCCTGCCTCGGGCAGAAGTGGTACGAGACGGAGAGAGCAGCGTATGTGCTGAGGCAGTACTTCTTCAGCACGCTGCACGACCGCCTCGGCACGCGCCCCTTCCTCGGCCTCACCTTCAAGAAGTGGATCGCCTTCCAGGTAACCCTGCTCCCGTGCATGTGACCTCGCCTTCCAGGTAACCCTGCTCCCGTGCATGTGACCTCGCCTTCCAGGTAACCCTGCTCCCGTGCATGTGACCTCGCCTTTCAGGTGCGCCGGATCAAGTGCTGCTCTTTCCCGCCATGAGAAGGTAGTTTTGCTGTAGACTGTATCATACAACGAGTCTTTATTTTTCTATTCATTCATCCGCTGCCCGTCCTCCTTCTCGCCCCACCTCACCTCTCTCTCCCCTCCTGCAGATCCTCAAGGCGTTGGACCAGGCGCACTCACGAGGGGTCTGCCATGGTGCGCCCTCCGCCAACCCCTCCCTCCTCCCTTCCCTGCCCTTCCCCGCCGCCCCCTCCTTCCTCCCTTCCCTGCCCTTCCCCCTCACTCGTCACTACTGCTCACTGCGCTGCCTCTCTGTTCGTATCCCGCCTTTTTCCTCGCTATTCCCCTCCTGGTAGTGCTCCTTTTCCTCATGACGTTCTGCTATCCTTTGCCCCCACCTCTCATGTCAGTGCCACCACTCGTTCCATGCGCCTCATGCCCTCCCACCCCTCATCTGCATGCTTGCAAAGCCACCATCTGCATGCTTGCAAAGCCACCTCCCTCTCATTCACGCATCCACACCTCCCCCTCACCACACCTACCTTCCGTCGCCACGCACGTGGAACAATGAGCACACACTGTACGGTGCACGTGATGGCATCACCGTCTGCTTGCTTGCCCTCTGCTCAACCCCATTTCCATACCAATTTCTCACTCTGACACCCCCGCCCATGCAATTCAAGGTGGAAAAGAAAGAAAACGAATGCCTTTCGTAAAGAAAAAGAAGAGAAAGTAAAGGCAAATCGATCCATCCTGCTCCATGCGCTCATCCCATGCTCCTCTATTGCGGTGCATGGGGGGGGGCGGGGCGGGCAGGCGATCTGAAGGCGGACAACGTGTGTGTGACGGCGTGGAACTGGGTGCACGTGGTGGACTGGGCGCCCTTCAAGCCCGTCCTCATCCCCTCCGACAACCCCGCCATCTTCTCCTTCTTCTTTGATACCGCCCCCTCCGGCCGCCGCCGCTGCTGCATCGCCCCTGAGGTGCGCCCCCCCCGTGGCCACTCCCTTCCATCCACGCTGCTCCCGCTCACCCACCCAAACCCAGGCTTGCCCTTTCCCCGTTGTCACTCCCTCATTAAAACCCCTGGGAACTGCTTTTGAAACAATACAAAACAATGCAAGTACAAATGTGAGACAGCAGTAGTCTAGCTGTAGCACACGCTCTCGTACTTTGCTCTTTGTCTGGCAGTGCCATGCCCCCGGCAACACACATGGCGCATGTGCCTTTGGATCGACATGTTCTCACGTGGAAGGTGTGGTGTTGCATGCATGTGCCGTGGGGTGTGTGTGAATCGATGGCATGACATGGCATGGCATGGTACGGCACGGCATGAATTTATGGCATGGCATGGCAGCGGTTTGTGTCGGCGAGTGAGTGGAGGCAGAGGCAAAGCGAAGGGGAGGGCGGAGTGGGGGGGGCACAGCTGCAGCCTGCCATGGACATTTTCTCCGCAGGGTGAGTGCTGCTCTTGGCGGGTTTGAGTGCTGCTCTCTGCAAGGTCACCTGTGTCTGTTCTTGCTAGTTCTGAGGCCACAGCGGAGGAAAAGGGTGAGGGTATGGGTGTGAGGGTGGCAGGTAGGGTAAATTCCTGCTGCACATGCCTGTTGGAGTCAACTCCTCCCCGGGCCTCACCTAGCCCGTGCCTGCCCTTCCGTTATCTGCACTGCTCTTGGGTCGAACCTCGCTGCTGCCTCATTCTCTCTTCCTCACCTCACCCCACCCTCCCCTTGCACGCGTGTCCCTGGCAGGTGTGTGATAGCGGAGATGTTTCTGGACGGCGATGTGCTCTTCGACCTCTCCTCGCTGCTCGCCTATGTGCACGGCTCCTACGATCCCCTCCCTGTCATCGACCGGGTATGCCCCACCGCCCCCAGCGACCACGTATTCCCCAGCGGCTATTCACCACGCATACAGGTTGGGGGTGATGCACGTGTCTTCCACGGCATCCTCTACACTCCCCTCCCTGCTGCCCTGGCAGGCTGCACGCACGCACGCACACACACAGAGACACGCACGCGCACGCGCACAAGAACTCACACACACGCACGCGCGCATTCCCACCCATCCCCCCCCCCCCCACACCCCCCCCCCCCCCCCCCCCCCCCCCCCCCCCCCCCACACACACACACACACACACACACATATGCCTCCCGTGTTTCTCACACTCACCTTCCCCCCTCAGTGGGGGTCCTGGTGCTGCACATGGTGCAGAGCAGACAGTCCTCTTGCAGCGTCCGCCACCCCGTGGGTCATGTGCTGCCCATGCCTGCCAGTTCTTGTGCTACTCCACGTGTCGTGTTGGTCCGCTGCCGTGCCTACCCCCGTGCCTACCCCCGGGCCTACCCCCGTGCCTACCCCCGGGCCTACCCCCGGGCCACCGCAGATCCCGTGCCCATCAGTGCGCGCCCTGGTGGCGCACATGGTACACACGGACCCCGCGCAGCGCCTGCCAGCAGCCGCGTACCTCACGGCGTTCAGCGACCCCCACGGCGCCGCGCTCTTCCCCCACCCCGCCTTCGACGCCCTGCATGACGAGCTCTTCTGCCACCTGCCCGCTATGGACGCTGATGGCCGGGTAACATGGGGTGGGGGGGGGGTTCATGTGATGGTGATGGGGCAATGCGGTGATGGGTTTGTTCATGCGGTGGATCCTTTCTACCAATGAAATGAAGAACCTGATTTATGCCCGCCGTTGACGTGCGTCTCCTTGAGCCATGGACGCTGATGACCGGGTGCAGTGGGGTGGTGTCATGATGATGCGGTGGGGTGATGGGAGTGCGGTGATGGGAGTGGGGTGATGGGAGTGGGGTGATGGGAGTGGGGTGAAAGGAGAGGAGTGATGGTGAAAGAAAAGAACTATTAGTGATAGCTCAAGAACAGATGGGAGTGGGGTGGTGATGGTGGTAAGATGCACTGCTGCTGCTGCTGCTGCTGCTGCTGCTGCTGCTGCTGCTGCTGCTGCTGCTGCTGCTGCTGCTGCTGCTGCTGCTGCTGCTGCTGCTGCTGCTGCTGCTGCTGCTGCTGCTGCTGCTGCTGCTGCTGCGGGTGCGGGTGCTGCCGGCATGTGGCATGTGCAGCAGCAGCTGGGTGTATTGGGGGCCATGGTCTCAAGCGACAACTCCTCGCGCATGGCTCAACTCCTTCCACTTCCCTCCCACTCTCTCCTCCGCCCTGCCTCACCTCCTCCCCCTTACCCCAGATCGCCCTCACCCGCCAGCTCTACCCGCGCCTCTCTCGCATCATTGCTTCCTCGCTGCACGGGGGTGGGGAGGATGCTGAAGAGGAGGGAATTGGGAAGGGGGCGGGGGGGAAGGGTAGCGCTGGGGAGGCAGTGAGTGGGGAGAGTGGAGTGTTGGGAAGGGGGGATGGGGAGCAGGGTGGTGAGCAGGAGGTTGCAGCGGAAGGGGGTGTGGAGGGGTGTGGTGAATTGAGGGGGGATGAGGAGGGCGATCGTTCTGAGAAGGTGCTAAGCAGTGCGAGGGAGAAAGATGAGAGCCTGCAGGGCAGCAGCAGCAGCACCGGGTGTGATGTTAGTGTAGGCGATGGCACAGGTGGTGATGGCGTGGGGAGGGGCGACATCATGCGTGGCACTGAGAGAGGCGAGGCAGCTGGGAGAGGTCCAACATGTGGGCCACGCACCACAGCCGCACGGGGCCGTGCGAGTGAGGGCACAGGGGGCGGTGTGGGCAACAGCGGCAGCGCCATGGTGCTGCTGGTGGGGCTGCTCACGGCCTGCCTGCGCAACGCTCGCCTGCCGCACTCACGGCGCCACTGCCTGCTGCTGCTGCACGCAGCAGCACAGCACTGCTCGCACGCGGTGTGTCTGCAGGCTGTGGCGCCCTTCCTGGTGGCGGTGCTGGCCCCGGACGGGCTCACGGCCACGCCGCTGCACGCCCTCGACACGCTCCTCCCCGGCGGGGCTGCCAGCCCGCCCCTCGTGCGCTGCACCGCGCTCACCGTGCTCACGCGCCTGCTGGCGCGCGTGCGCTGCTTCCCCTCCACGGACGCGCGCTTCTTCCCCGAGTACCTCTTCCCCTCGCTCTCCCTGCTCCCCCGCTCGCCCGATGAGACTGTGCGCGCCACGCTCGCCCTCTGCCTGCCCTCCCTCGCTGCCTCCGCGCTGCGCTTCTTGCTGCTCCCCGCAGGGGCCACGTGCGCCACTGGGGGAAGCGAGGGGGAGTCCGGGCAGGGGGCGAATGAGGGAGAGAGGAAAAGCAGCAGTACAGCATGGGAGGAGAGGGGTGGTGGAGAGACGGATGGCGACAACGACAGCAGCAGTGGCATGCCGGGGTTCTCCTTGGCAACCTCCGGCCTGCCGCCGTCCCAACGAGTCAGCAGCTGTGCCACGCTCACCTCTCTCAAGGCGCTTGCAGCGGCAGCGGAGCGGCTGGCAGAGCAGCACATGGGAGAGCTAGCGGAGGTGAGGGAGGCGGTGCGAGTGGCGGTGGAGGAGCTCTCCACGCTGCCCCGCAGCACGCCCCCCATCCGCCTCTCCCTGCTGCACCACGCCCCCTCCCTCGCTGTCTTCCTCGGTCCCCCCCTTGCCACCACTGCACTGCTCCCCCTGCTCATCACCTTCCTCAACGACCCCTCCCCCCGCGTGCGCGCTGCCTTCTTCCACACGCTGCCCGCGCTCTGCCCGCATGTGGCCCCCTCCGCACTGCCTGCCTTCCTCCTGCCGTGCCTCGAGCAAGCCCTGGGGGACACCTCGCATTCGTCCGTGCCTGCTGCTGCTGCCGCGTGCCTGGCCCAGCTCGTGCGCTCCCAGCGCCTGCAGCAGCGGCGGTGGCTGCTGTCAGCCGCACGCCATGCAGCGCCGCTGCTCAGGCACCCTGAGGGGGACGTGAGGGGCGCTGCTGTGGCGTTTGCAGCGGCTGCAGCGGGTCTGCTGTCGGCTGTTGACGCCCACGCGCTGCTGCTGCCGCTGCTCTCCCCCTCCCTGCGCTACCGCCCTGCGCTGCTCACCTCCCCCGCCTCCCTTGCTGCTGCGCTCAAGGCGCCCCTGTCTACCCACCCTGCTTTGCCGCCCCAGCCACCCCTCCCAGCGCAAGCAGGTGTGGCGTCGTGGCAGATGAGTGCAGGGCAAGCAGTGCCCGACCTCCGCGTGCCGCATGCGCTCTCGCCTGCTGCTGCGCGCGAAACGGAGGCTGGCCGTGCTGCTGCAGGTGCGCGTGTGAGTGTGGGCGAGCATGGTAGCAACAGAGGAGTTGGTGCAATGAGCGGCGAGGATGAGCAAGGTGCAGACACGGGAGCAGTGGGCCGGGGGGAAGGAGGCGCAGCAGACATGCAAGGGAAGCGGTCGGTGGGGCAGGAGGAGGGGAGGGACGTGGCGATGGGAGGGCAGGCGGCGAGTGGGCGAGCAGCAGCAGCAGCAGCACAGCACGTGGCCTCGTCGACACTCGCTCACTCCCTCTCCATGCAATATGCTGTGCCCCCCGCACACGGAGCAGCACCAGCAGCGCCATACCCAGCCATGGCTGCTGCGCTTGCCAGCATGCGCACCGACACGGGGCAGCCCTGGCCGCCCCTCCCCTCCACTGCACCATGGCCTGCCACCACTCACTCGCCTGCTTCCACCGCTCACTGGCCCTCCACACCCCTCCACACTCCCCTGCCTGCCTCTGCATCTCACTCTCTCCTCGTCCCCCCCCCTTCCCCCTCTCCACCCCTCCATCTCCCCACTCCACCCTGTTCGATTCCCATCCCCTCGCCCCGCATCCTCCCCACTCTCGCTCTCCTTGTCCTTCCACCGCCCCCCTCCTCCCCTCACCGTCCACCCGCCCTCCGCTCTCCCCTCCTCCACCACTCGCCAACCCCTTTCCACACACTCTCTCGCTCCCATCCACCTTCCCCTTGCTCCCTCTCTCCCGTCTCTCCCCTCTCCCTCGTCACACCCCTCACCCCACTCCCCATCGGTCTCCTTCTCTCTCGCCCCTGCCAGCCCACACGCACAGTCCCACCCAGCCTTGGATCTGCCACCCCTCGCGGTGCCGCTCTATTCACTCGCCCACCCCGCCACCGCCCTGCCCACTGCACCCTCCACCTCTGCGCTTCCCTCCACCACCCTCTCTCCGCCCTCCCTGCCTCGCCCCCCGTCAGCACTCTCACCCTCCGCCTCACCCACTGCCACTCTTGCCGCTGCGGCTGTCACTGCGGCTGCTGCAGCCTCTGCGGGCGGCACAGGGCAACCCACTCTGGACGCGCTGGCAGCCGCACAAGCTGCCACTCTTGCCGCTGCTGCTGCCCCACTGCGTGCGCCTGCCTCACCATCTGTTCCTGCTACCGCGACACTCTCTTCCTCCTGCTCGCATGCCACATCTCTGCCTGCTGTAGCACCCAGCAGTCCTGTTGTGGGGACATGCGAGCAATCCACTGCTGCTCCTGCTGTGAGCTCCACTCATCCACCGGCACCTCACCTCTCATCGCCCGCTGATCTCCCCTTTGCCTTTGACTCGCTTGACGACCTCCCCTCTCCCCCCCCCCACCTCCTCCGCTCTCTCCACCTCCCACTCTGCCTCCCACCCGTCCCTGCCACCACCCACCACGCCACATGCCGCCACCACGCCCACCAGCACCCCAACGTCACTCCCACCCTCTCACGCCCTCCCTCCTCACACAGGCCCTCTCCTCCCCCACACACTGCGCGGCCCCCCTCCCCCCCCTCCGCCCCCCGCGCCGGTGTCGCACTCACTGGTGTTCCTGGGCACCACGCAGCCCCACACCCGCATCTCCTCCCTCTCCCTCTCCCTCCGCTCCTCTCGCCGCCCCCCCTCCTCCTCCACCCTCCGTCCCTCCGCCTCCCCGGCTCGGCATACCCTCCCCCCTGCCGTGCCTGCTGCTGGACCTGCCACCATGTGTGCAGCAGAGGCTGGGCAGGGAGGCAGAGCAGAGGACGAGATGGAGAGACGTTTGCCTGCGGCAGGCAGGGAGGGTCACACAGCGGCCCTACTGGAGAGGCCGAGGGCGTTAGCTGGTGGTGGTGCTGGGGGCGAGGTGTCACCACGTGCAGCAAGTCAAGCTCAATCATCCGTGGATGATTGTAGTGCCGCCCATGTCAATGCCACGTCATCTGCCACGTCTGCATCTCCACATCTCGTGGAACCAGGTGGGGTGGGTGCGGGGAGCACGGGACATGCACAACTGCCAGCAGCAGCACAGGTAGCACCACCATCAGCAGCGGGTCAAGCAGCAGGCGCAGAGGCAGAGGAGAGCAGGGAACGTAGGGCAGCAGCAGTGAGCGGGGAGGTGCAGAGGCTGCTGGGGTGGGGCAGTGCGGACGACGGTGCCGCCATGGCTCTGCTCCCCGCATCCCCCTCGCTGCTCTCCACCACAGCAGCAGCATGGCGGCCGCGCGGGGTGCTGGTGGCGCAGCTGCACGAGCACCGGGCGGCCGTGCCCGCGCTGGCAGTGGCGGGCAACAGCCAGTGGTTCGCCACTGCCTCGCATGACGGCACTGTCAAGGTGTGGGACGCCACTCGCCTTGACCGCGGTACCGCTTTTCGTTCCAAACTCACGTACGCGCCGGGGGGAGCAGCAGTGGCAGGGGCAGGGAAGGCGACTGCGGTGGCGGTGATGGGGGACAGTGCGACAGCAGCGGTGGGGTATGCGAGTGGGGAGGTGCATGTGGTGCACGTGGACTATGCGCCGCGCTTCCTCTCCTCGCCCGACTCCTACCGCTGCATCACTCGCATGGCCTCCCTCGAGCCCGCCTCTTGGTCTTCCCCCTCCAGCCACACCCCAGGTGCGGCAAGAGGGCCCATCCTCTCCGTGCACTCGTGGGCGGCTTCTACCCTGGGCGCCACCCCGCCCTCCCTCTCTGCATCCTCCTCCTCGCTCTTCTCCTGCAACCCCCTCTCCTCCTCGCACGCACTCCTCCTCGTCGCCTCGCTGCATGGCGGCATCACCCTGTGGGACATGCGAGCTGCCCGCCCCGCCTTGTCGCTGCACCTGCACGCGGCACTGGGAGCGCCCACCCACGTGCTGCCCGACCCGCACCACGGCCTGTGGCTGCTCGCCGCCTCCTCCTGCTCCGCGCTCTGCCTCTGGGACCTGCGCTTCCTGCTCCCCCTCTCCTCCTGGCGCCTCCCCTCCGCCCCCTCCGCGCCCCACCCGCCCCCCATCACAGCACTGGCGCCCATGCTGCCCGCGGCCTTTCCCCCCGCAGGGGACGCTATGGGGGCAGCGGCAGCAGGCGGGCCGGAGCACCTGCCAGGGTGGTTTGGGGCGGACCGCGGGAGCGCAGCAACAAAGGGGGCAGTGGGGGCGGCAGGGGGTGGGGCAGCAGCAGCGGGAGCAGGGGGGGCAGTGGGGGGGGCGTCACGGCCTCTGGTGTATGTGGCGAGTGGCAGGGACGAGGTGGGGCTGTGGAGTGCCGACACGGGGCAGTGCCACCAGGTATGAGTGCCACTTGCCACACTGAACCATGGTGCACCCAGAGCAAAGGTCCAATCCGTGTGCCGTCATTCCGCGCTCATGCTTCAGCGCTGTACTCCTTCACAAGCACACATGGTGGCACCACACCTTGCTTGCACCGCACCCTCACCTGCGTGTGCCCCCGTCCTCTCTCCCCCTCCCCCAGGTCTTCTCCGTGGCCCCCCAGCCCTCCTCCAGCACCGCTCCCCCTCCCTCCCTGCCCTCGCGCTCCAACCTCCCCACCGCTCTGCAATCCCGCCCACACCTGCTGCCGCTGCCACCCTTCTCCACCAGCACCACCACGCCCTCCGGCCGCATGCTCTCCTCCTCGCCCTGCTTGCCCAGCGGCCCTCTGCCCCAGTCAACACAGTCAACGCAGTCAAGCGGGGCAAGTGGGGCAAGGCAGGCAAGGCAGTCGTTGCTGCGGGTGGAGCAGCTGAAGGAGCCACCGGGCAGGGTGGGGGGGGTGAGGGCGCTGCTGGGAGTGCCGGGGGGCAGTGCGCTACTCACAGCCGGCACTGACTGCTGCATCCGCTACTGGTGCCGCCTCAGGTGATGCTGCTGCCATCTCAGGTGGTTGCCGTCTCAGGTGATTGCTGCTTCACGTGATTGCCACCTCAAGTGTTTGCCACCTCAGGTGATTACCACCTCAGGTGATTACCACCTCAGATGATGCTCTGCTGGTGGCCCGTGCAGGGTACACTGCAGGTGATGCTCCCTGTGTCCACTGCCACAGCTCTGTATCCATTTCCTCACTCTCCCCCCCCCCCCCCCCTCCTCCTTCCCCCGCGCCTCCTTTCCTCGCGGGCGAGAGGGCAGGCCGGAGCAGAGTGGGTGGGTGAGCGGGCCCACAGCCAGGGGGGCGCGGGGAGAGGTGCTGCACCCGCGCTACGACATGCGCATCGTGCACGGCGCGAGAGTCATTCAGGTGCGTGCACTACCTGCCTGCCTCCCTTGCACTGCGTTCCCATCCACTGGTTGCTGCAAACACCATTCTCACTCCCACTTGTCTTCCACTCGGTTCATCCCATCCGTCCAACGCCACCCCCTCCCACACCTCGTCCATCCTGCTGCACCCACCGCAGGAGACCCCGCCCCCCTTCTACGTGGATGCGGCGCGGCAGCGAGGCAGCGGTACGGGCGCCTCCACTCCACAAGCAGGCGGGCGGGCAGCAGCAGGCAGTCAGGGGCACGCGGATACAGGCCCGGGAGGGGCAGCGGGAGGAGGTGGAGGGGCAGGGGGAGGGGGGCGGCGCAGCATGGTGGAGGTGGCAGCGGTGGATGTGGGGGGGTGCCACCGCGATGCCGTGCTGGCACTGGCCGTGGCGGACCCGGGACAGCGCCTGCTGCTCTCTGCCAGCCGTGACGGCGTCGTCAACGTCTGGCGCTAATACCCCCACCTGCCCTGGACTACATCCAAGGGAGAGGCTTGTGTACAGATAGTAAAGCAGGCATTTGAGGGATGATGGTAGTGAATAGAGGTGATTCATCTATTTTGCGTGAAGATAGTAAGATTCCAGTATGTGTGCCTTAGCGTCTCGTGTATATCGATGCCCTTTGTACAATAGCAAGGAGGTAGGTTAACATTGGTGTCCATAATGGCAAGCAATCTGTTCCAAGTTTGTTCTGGAAATGTTTGAGCACGATTCCAACCTTACATGTGAAATGTGGGTCCTCACAGGGATAAGCCGGAATAAAAGACCGTTGGTCTGGAAAGACGACAGAATTCATTCTAAGCTACCCTCGATAGAGCCTTTTACTTCGATTCAGACCCAAATGCTGGTTCCCAAGGGTTTTCCAAAGCCAGATATGCTGCAGAATATCTTCAAAGGTGGTCCACACGTGTTTCACTATTTGAGACAATGTTTGAAAGGGACCTTTGGCTCATAGCTTCTACCTGGTCATGGATTGATTGAGTTGCTCAACGCAACGCCTAACAGCGGGTACCTCGGATGTTTCAAAGTTTGAATCTCTCTCCAGCTTCACCATGACGCCTCGTCGCAGAGTCTGCCACGACACATGGAAGAACTGTTCTCGACATTGAAAACTCATCGACTGGAAGTTGAGTTGACTCGTATTGAGCTAGGTCGTTAGGGCGTGGTGAAAGTGACGATCTCGGGAGGATTGATTGCCTTCGATATCGTTTTATTATGGCGTCGGAGTAGGTTATGTAGTTTTAGATGCAATACGCGTGATTACAGTGCGGTGGTGGTTCGATACTTGAAGTCATCGATCGACACTTTTACCACGCCCTTAGTCGCGCCTTATTATGGCGTCGGAGTAGGTTATGTAGTCTTAGATGCAATACGCGTGATTACAGTGCGGTGGTGGTTCGATATTGGAAGTCATCCATCGACACTTTTACCACGCCCTTAGTCGCGCCTACCTTCGTGTCGTAAGCGGGCAGAATTGGTAGAAATTCCGGAGCGCCTGGAGCGTCCGTCGCCCCAGTGTCGCTTAGACACTGCTCCCACGGTGTGTGCGAGCGTGGCCACGTCGGTCGTGATCCAGGGCCGACGGAATCGACTCCGCACATAGGCGAGTGCGCTCCAGCGGTATGGAGAGAGCACCGATTAAGGGACCTCTGCGGTCGCACATGAAAGAGAAGGTCCGTTCGTATCTTTCTCCAGAACTCGCACAGCAATGCGATCCTCCTCTGCGCACTCACCCTAACAACCACTCATCTCCTCACCCCCCCCACCCACACCCCCCCCGCTCGCAGCTGCGCGTCATGTGTCTGCACCGCGTGCGCGCCAATCGCGACCGCCTGCTCTGGGACATGCGCGCGTCTGCTTCCCCTTCCGCCTCCGCGCACGTGCCCCTCGCCTTATATTCCGCCATCCACTCCCCGCTGTCCCCCAGCTCCCTCTCGCTCTCCAAACCACAATCGCGCACCTCAGCCTCCTCCCTCTCGTGCTCTCACTCCCTCTCTCACTCCCACTCGCCCTCCTCGCTCTCCCAGCCTGCTGTCTCCTCCGCTCCCTCGCCCTCTTCCCTCGCCGCCCTCCACCCTCTCCTCTCCGTCCAACCGCACCCAGCCACGTCAGCAGCGCTCGCGTGCATGGGCGCGCAGCAGCCGGGGGGGGCAGCTCGAGCGGAGTCGGGGGGACAAGCAGACGCGCGAGTACGCAGTGAGGGCGGTGAGCGCGATGAGGGGATGGTGCGCGGTGGGGAGGGTGAGCGCGGTAGGGAGGGTGAGAGCGATGGGGACGTGCGAAACGGCGAGCGGATGGAGGGCGTGGCGATGGGCGAGCGCGGAGAAGGGAACGGGCACGCAGGCTCTGGCGGGGATTCTGCTGGCAGAACGAGGGGTCGAGGGGGGCGCAGTTGGACTCGGCGCACGGGATGGGCGCGGAGGGGCGAGGGGCGCGGCCAGAGCTGCGGAGAGTGCTGTTTGGGGAGCTGCAGCGGTTGCGAGGCGGATGCGATGATGTCAGCTGTTCTGGTGGTGGTGGTGGCATGGGGCACGCCAGAGCGCTGGAGCACGACACGGAGTTGCATGATGCGATGGCAGGGTGGGGCGAGCACACAGTGTGCGCGTGGGATCATGAATGGCCCTCGTGTGACCCGATGCACAATGGGGGCGACGGGGCAGGGGAGGTGGGACGCGGGGTGAGGGGGCGAGGCGAGTGGGACAGCGATGAGGAGGCAGGTGGGCGGTGGGAGGATGCGGATGGCGTGTTGCAGCTGAGCGCAGACGAGTACGAGGCGCTGCTGCTGGACATGCAGACGGCGCTCTATGAGGATGCTGATGATGCCCAGCCGCCACCCCTCCCCTCGGGTATGTGATGCGCGGTGCCGTGGTGTGCTGCTGCTGGTCATGCAGAGAGCGGTGTATGAGCATGATGATGCCCACCTGGATCATGTAGTGGGGGGGGTGACTGGCGTGTTGCGCGTGTGTGATCCGGACCCAACACAAGGTTGGTGATCCGGACCCAACACAAGGTTGGTGATCCGGACCCAACACAAGGTTGGTGATCCGGACCCAACACAAGGTTGGTGATCCGGACCCAACACAAGGTTGGTGATCCGGACCCAACCAAGGTTGGTGATCCGGACCCAACCAAGGTTGGTGATCCGGACCCAACCAAGGTTGGTGATCCGGACCCAACACAAGGTTGGTGATCCGGACCCAACACAAGGTTGGTGATCCGGACCCAACACAAGGTTGGTTCCATTGCATAAGGTGCCTGTGCAAGCGGCTTACTGTGTGCGGGTATATGGCGATGGTTATAGGAATGGAATGGGTGCACGCGTGCTGCATATGTGTCCGTCTGGCGTGAGGCACATGCTCTGTCCGCCACTCTCACCCATCTGTCCGCCACCCTCACCCATCTGTCCGCCACCCTCACCCATGTGAGCATCAGGCCATCGGAGCATGGAGGAGGAGGAGGCATACCAGCAGGGCATGGAGGATGCTCAGATTTTGGCCGCACTCGCTTATCAGCAGGTACTCTCGCTTATCAGCTGGTACTCTCGCTTATCAGCTGGTACTCTCGCTTATCAGCTGGTACTCTCGCTTATCAGCTGGTACTCTCGCTTATCAGCTGGTACTCTCTCTCTCTACACATCACCACACAACCAGTGTTTCCGTGTCTCCCGGCTGCCATGTTCCTTCTTGCTGCCATGCCCCTATGTATTGCCACGCACCTTCCGCCTGCTCCATGCATGTCATTAGTGCCATTGAACACCAAGCCAAACCTTTGCCCGAACGCACCTTCCCTAATTGTGTGCTCATGCATCTCTGTGCATCACTGCTGGGTGGGCAGGAGGCGACGGTGATCTGCCCGCTGTGCAAGGCGAGTCCCCTGCGCATGCACGGTGGCACCATTGAGTGCTCCTGCGGCCTCTTCTCCCTTCACACACACCACCACCACGTATGCCCTTGCTTCTCTTTGCTGCTCCACCTTTGCTTCCTTGTGCACCTTTCCTTCCTACTGCATGCACCATCCCTTCCCGCTGCATCTCTTCTCCATTTCCACAGCTTTCCTCCCTTTTGCCGTTCCCAATGACACATCAATCAGGCTCACCCTGTCGGAGTGCTATTGCCTACACTCACTTCCCCTCCTCTGCCCGCTTGTCGAACCAGTGAGGCACAAGAGCAGCTGCAGCAAGGCACATAGCATTATGTGCTCTTAGGTGTCGTTGTCGCCTCTCTCACTTGCACACCCCTCACCCGCCTGTGCCTGCACCCTGTGCAGCAGGAGGTGCCATTGGCAGCAACCACCCTTCTCTTTCTGGCGACTGTTTGAAGTGGTTGCAGCAAGGGACATGGCAGCATGTGCACGTAGGTGTGCCCGTCGCCTCACTCACTCTGCATCTCCCACTGCCCGCACACCCCTGTGCAGGTGAAATTGGAGCATCTGGCAGCGCGGCTGCAGGAGGTGACGTGGCAGCACGCCATGGACTGCCCTGCGCTGCCCTCCTTCACGCTCCACAGGAGCCACGGCGTCACCGCCCTCCTTGCTCACTGCTCTGCATGCCCCTTCTTTGAAATAGTGCTGTAGCTTGTCGCAGCATTACATGAAGGGGAAACAGTAGAAAGCATCAATGCAGCATCTGTACTAAAATTATTCGAGCTTAGTTTGATTTTCATGTGGGTACGACATTGACAAAAGTCTTCCACCTCTTCAAGTCATGACCTGGGCCCATAAGGAGGCTCGATGTCCTGGTGGGTTATGGGCGCACTGACCTGCTACTTAAAAAGTTGTTTTTATCCCAGTGGGTCTAGTGGTTGGGATTCTAAGATCTAACACGTCAAATGTTGTAGTCTTAGTGATGCGTGTTATAGGGGGTACAACTGTTGACAAAGACGACGTAGACAAAGGCAAAGTCATCTTGACTTATTGCCCCACTGGTGACATGGCAGCTGACTTCCTCACCAAGAAGCTGCCACGTCAGCAGTATCATCACTGCGGAAACATCTGCGGTATAACCAAGCGCGTCAAGACTTCGCTCCTCCAGGAATGAAGGGGAGTGTTACGATATGGAATAGTTGAATAAACATTCCTGAGTAACAAACTCTTAACGCGAAGATGACTGCAGCGAGGACAAAAGACCAAGCGACGAGACAGTTATCGAGACAGTTACAAGCATGAAGAATTTGAAGTGCAAAGCGCGGGAAATGTTCAAACGGTTACCGGACCACCGCACGGTTGCAATGCTGCATCTAGATTAGCCCCAAGGTGAATGTACCCCCTCAGAGCAGGGTTCTCGTTATCAGACCAATTTGGTCTGATGGTCTGCGTTTAAGACTGGTTTTTTTGTATTCATCTTAATCCTAAGATTTTGTGTTTGTTCTCATCTGATGAGCAAGATTTGACTTTTAAGTTCGTATGATTTTTTCAGACGTGTAGAATTTTTTATCTGAGGATACAGATAGCGAGTTCGGTTTCGTCTGAAACCGACAACTTGACCCACTAGGCCATAGGCCCAGTTGACTAGAGGACAGGACCACCACAGGTACAGCCGATTGCTGCCTTGTAACTGCATGCATTCATTACGCGTGTCTTATACAGCTCTGTAACTGCCTTGTGCAGCCTCGCTGGCATGTATCTGCGGCATATGCTGCCAGGTGTTTGTCGTTTGGGTGGCTGTCGGCGCCGACGCCAGCCACAGCCACGACAACGCACTGTCCCGTTGTGCCAGCGCATTTGCTTTTCGTAGAGGGCGCGCAACACATCACTGTGGTCGTAGTGCCCCCCGCTCCCAACATGCACCGCCTTTCGGTTCTGAGTGCAGTGCACGGTGATGAGGTTTCATGCAGCTGGGTCTGGCGTGAAAACAAGCCTGTTTCTCCTGCTCGTCCTCACCTCTCTCCCAGCCGAGCATGGATCGTTTCCCTCCCAGCGTCTGATTTCCCAGCGTGACGCTTCCCAGCGTTTAGGCTATGGCCGTCACAGCCGGCGGACCGTGCGATGGGGAGCCCGTGCTTTCCGCCCTAGACTTCCTAACGCGGGGCAAGCAGATCGCTTCTGCTGCCCCTCCGATTGCGTCGACCTCTGCTGCGGTACCTTTGCCCAACTCGGAAAATGGCGATCAACACGTGCCAGCAACGACTACCCCAACAACGTTGTTATCCCCCCCGCTCCCTGACGAATGTGCAAATAAGAGCATCCCTCCAGTGTCGGTCGCTACAACCTCTCGCAGTGCTAACCCCGTCTTGCCTGACAGATCTATGAAGAAGCGGTATAAACAGCGTGTTCTCACCGTCTGCCGTCCGGGCGGTCCGACTCAGCCAGCACCGTCAGTTCTTCCGCGCCCCGTGGAACCAGAACCTGAACCCGCGAGTGAAGACTTCGAAGACCCGAAGGGCAAGCAACTGTCGGTTGAGGAGCTTCAGTTGAAGTGCAAGCAGCAGTGGCAGCGGTATTTTCCTTGGCTCCTCATCTCCGAAAACAAGGCAGGCCGCCCGTGCATGCGCTGCAGCGTCTGCATGGTCTTCGGTGACCCGAACTACAAATACGGGCGTAACGGCGATGGCGGCATCGACATCCAGAAGCAGACGATGCGCAAGCATCACCACAGTCTGAAACACGAGGCCGCGGTCTTGAGGAAGGAGGAGCGCGACGGCGTCAAGAAAGTGCAGAAGTCAATTGCTGACTTCCACCGTGGGGACGCTGATGTCAAGCGTATTGCTCGGTTGATGGCTATCGTGCTATTCATTTGCAAGTCTGATGCTCCCATTGTTCTTTTCGTGGCTTTGGTTCAATTCATGGCAGAGCAGGGGACACCGGATTTGCCCCTGAAGGAGAACGGGACGTACTACAGCGAGTAAGTGTCCCGTTTTACTCATCTTTTTATTGTTATTTGGTTACGAGTCTAACGAGTATCAACCCGTGGTGTCTCAGGTACGGCTTCGCACAACTGGTCGAGACCATGGTGTGCTACCTCAAGTCCCGCCAGCTGAAGCACATCCGCGACAGTCCGTACCTTGGCATCCAGCTAGACGAGAGCACCGACCGACGGCGGGGGAAGCACATGATCGTCTATTTGACGTTCATGCGTGACAACGCACCCGTGACGGAGTTCTTCGCCTTGCTCAGTGTGGAGCAGTGTGACGCCGCGTCACTCACCACAGTGCTCCTGACGCATCTGGAGAGTACCGGCATCGACCTACAGCGCCTCACCGGTATGAGCACTGATGGTGCTTCCGTCATGCTTGGACAGCACAACGGAGTCACCGCGCGCCTGAAAGTCAAGGTTCCTCACCTTGTGTCGTCTCACTGCATCGCGCACAGGTAGGCGTTGTTACTGCGCGTTTCCTGCCTACTTAAAAAAAAAAAACCCGTGCTAATGTTACCATCTGCTGTCTTGCAGGGAGGCCTTGGCGGCCAAGGATGCTGCCGCCAAGCATCCTGACTTCAGCGTCGTGGACAAGGTGGTCCGCGCCGTGGCTGAGAACCTCGGTCGTTCCTGTGTTAACCACGCCCGGTTTCAAGAGCTTCAGGAGGTCATTTGCGAGACCCAGCTTGAAGTTCAAGGCATCAAGGACGTCAGGTGGTTGTCGCGTGGTGACGCCATCCAGCGCCTGGTGAAGGTTTTTCCTGCTGCAGTCATGGTGTTGCACGAAACAAACAAGAAGATGTATCACGTCGTCACGAGCTATAAGTTCCATTTCCTGTTGTTCTTCCTTTCTGACGTCTTGAAGGAGCTCAACCTGCTAAGCCTGAAGTTTCAGCGGCGTCAGGTAAGCAGTTTCCCGAGTTACACGTGGCCGGTTTTTTCATTTACAATCTCCTACTAACCATCCTACTTGTGCACCCCCGTTTACAGGTTGAGGCAACCCATGTGCTGCCGATGGTCCACAACACGACCTTACTGCTGCGCACACGCTACCTCGACTGCGACGACGCGATGTTTGGTCAGGGGGGAGACGCGTTGGGCCCGTTCCTTGACAAGCACGCATCTGGGGAGTTCCGCGAGGTCCTCGTTGCTGGCACTGCTTCCGACGGCACATCGGTCAGCCATCGATACCGACTGCACGAGGAGAAAATCAAGGGGCAGACGAGCGGTGTGGACCACCAAGCGTGTTTGGTGCTGGCGCGCGAGTTCATCACGACCCTGGTCGGCCGGCTCGACTACCGCCTCAAGGACCTGTCAAACCTTGACGGGGCGAAGCTGTTCAAGCAGAGATTCTATCCCAAGAACCAGGCAAAGCGTGAGCGACGGCTAGGCCAATGGCTCCAGTCTCTGCGCAACATGTTCAAGCGGAAGCCAGATGACCCTGACACTATACCAGGTGCGTTAAATGCCGGGAATGAGCTGTATGTTTAGCGTTGTCTCCACATGCTTGTCTAAACACTACATGTTCCCATGTTCCCATGTGCACCCCAACCGCAGGCATCAACTGGGCGAGAGCGCAGCGAGAGCTTGTCACCTTCTCTACCATCCTGGCCACACACCAAGAGGATGTCGGGTGTGCGGAGAGCCTGAAACTCATGCTGTCCTCCCCCGACTGGGCGACGTGCTACCCGAACCTCGTCCACCTGTGGATGGCTGTCGCCGTGCTTCCGCTCAGTACCGTCGAGTGCGAGCGCGGCTTCTCACGACAAAACATCATCAAGAGTTGGCTTCGCGGGAACCTGTGCGACGCGAAGCTGGGAGAGCTGATGGCTGTGTCGCTCCTTAACTACGACATGGAGTGGCCCGAGTTGCTGAGGAGGTGGAATGCTTCCAAGAAGCGAAGGCCTGCTAACGATGTGCTGATGGCGTCCGGGGAGAGACAGAGCAAGCGTGCGAGGAAGAGATCGGCCGCAGCTGCAGCAGCAACAGCTGCACTGGCAGCAGCAGAAGCAGCTGCTCGAGAAGCGGCCCTGGTAGCAGAAGCAGCAAGGATGGATGTTGAGTACCCGTGGCTTACCAGGAAAGAACGGGCCACAGTTCCCGTGGGGAGTGAGGATGGTAGTAGTGATAGCAATGAGGACTACGGCTCTAGTGAGTCTGACTAGGTCCTTAGCTACTGCCTAGGTTGTTTGATAGAATGAGTATAATTGCAGGTAGTGTTCTTGTAGGCTGACTTGGTTTTTTTTTTCGTCTAGTTTATCAGACTAGGAAAAATATTTCATCTTATACTGCAGACCACACAAATTTCGTCGTCAAAGCCTAAGACGGGGAAAATTTTTTTGAGGGTTTTGTCAGACAGGCCCTAAACCTAGCGAGAACCCTGCCTCAGAGTACATGGCTAGCTAGGACCTTTCGTATTCCACTGTATTCCTATATAAGCCCTTGTACCGCATTGTAATAGTTACTTCTATCGAGATTCAAATCTCCTTCTACTAACAAAGTCCGTAACCGACATTACCTAGCAATCTTCCGCTGCTACACTCCGTGCGATCAACCTAAGACGATCTTATAAGACGATTCAGATTATATCATGGTAGGAGAGCCACTCAGGATTCTTCGCATCACCACCTCTGATTCAAATTCAAATTCAAGGTGGTGTTCGGTACGCGCTCCCGCCGAAACATGGCTTGAGGATCTGGCGGACAAGCGGCTAACACTGGCG